AGTGAAGATCTCGAATGAAAAAACTCATTTTCTTCATTGTTAGAGTATCCAATGTTCGAAGTGACCGATTAACTGCCTGGTAGATGAAAGAGTCACGAATATACCAGGAAATTGACGTCTGAGGACTGTAATTCTTCTCGAACTCGTTGATAGTATCCAACGTTGTCTTATTGTTGTTAGATTTTTCTCGCCAAAATTGACTAAAATCTGTGATTTCTTTTTGTGTATGATTGACTTCAAGTGTAATTTCTTTAAATAGCTGTGTGTACATAAATGAGGGTTCTATTTGATCTAGATTAATTTTCAAACTATCTTCGTCGATACTGACAAAGCTCATAGCGATATCGTTTTTGTAACATCGTTTGATGGCATCTAGTAGTGCTTCACGGAGACGGTTGATATCTGTGTGCATACCTTTAATTTTGCTGGAATTCTTTTTCCAATCGTGGATTAGGGATTCTGTGCTGCAGAATATATGCACACTCAGAAGACTAGAAATATCATCCACGATAGGTATAATGTGTTGATCTTTAGGATTTGACAGAATAAGAAATGCCTTTTGATCATTGATGTCAGTGAGAAAATCTATACCTTCATCGGATTTGGTGAAAGTATATACTTGATCGGTCACCTGTTGCAGCTGTGTTAGTGTATTTTTACATTTTTCATTGTTTGGGTGAATGTTCTCGTCGATCCAGATAATTACGTAGCTTTCAGTCATGCATTGTGTTGGTTCCATAACACACAACAATGTCGTTGCAGTTGTTATGGCATCCGTTATGGATGTAGAAAGCATTTCATTCTGCTTTTGCCCATCTATTTTGAAGTTATTTGCCACTTTATTACTAACCAAGAATGGAGAGAAGTTGTTTGAAATTCAGTCAGAAATATTTTTTTTCTGTTGATCCGATAAGAGTTGTATTTCTTGACTTTTTTACAACATCAAATGTGCTTTTGTTTGTTGACGTTTAGTATTGAATTTCAGCAGTCGTAAAAGAAAATTATGTTGTAAAGAAAAAAATGATAAGGTTATTCAGTGTCGTAGTGCATTGTATTGCTGCCCGTCGGCGACTTAAAAAGAACCATTTTTCTCTCGGATAAGAACGAAAAAACAACACTGTTATGTGTGCTTTGATTGCTTTCTTCTTTCTAAAGATATTATAATCATGTAAAGGAAAAAATCATATAATATCAGTCTTCTCTTAGATCAGAATTGAAAACTTAATTTTCTGTTGGCTCAATATGCGATTTGATGCATTCTATTAGTTTTCAGGAAACTCTTTTTTTTGTGGACTTTATTTGGAACAGGGCATAATGGACATAATGACATAATGGTCATAAATTGGATTTTCAGGTGTTAGCGTCAGTGATGGATCACACTAACGCTAAACGATGATTAAGATGTGCCTTCTAGTCTAATTGGCTTAGGACAACTGCCCGGATAGCAGAAGGTATGGGTTCGATTCCCATGAAGGTCATCTTTTTCATCGTTCTGTCACATAACATCAGTGACACTGCTTGTCTCTTTCGTTCTATACATAAGAGCTTACATCAGGAAACTCCTTTTAAATCCTCGAAAAGAACCTACCACACGTCTCGAACAGCTCCTCCAAAACTATAAACAAAACTCCACAGTGAACTAATAACCACTAAAGTGGTGTAACCCATTCTCCATGCAGTCAGAGTCCACTTTCCAGGATAACATTTGAACTTCCAAACAATACTTCTACAAATCCTCAAGAAGACCTCCACTTTTTACAACAGCCACATCAACGTAAACGTGATTACATGTCTTCGGAGTTTCCTCAAAAACTCAATTCAATACCGACGCAGAAGATACAGTAGATAAAGAAGATGTAGGATATGAAGGAAATATAGAGATATGGGTGACGGGATGTTCGTCAATAAGACATTCATCAATGGCGAAAGTCCTGGGTATATATTGACGGAAGTATAGGGGACTTTCGCCCATTGGCGAAGTTCTAGGGAATGTATTGGCGAAAGTATAGTGGACTTTCGCCAATTGGCGGCAGTCCAGGGCTATATTGGCGGAACTCCACGGAATGTATTGGCGAAATTCCATGGGGTGTATTGGCGAAAGTCTTATTGACGAAATTCCGGAACCCCAGAGATATAGGAGATATAGTAAACAGTTATTTATTTATTTTGATTATTTCTTCGAGCAACCATCGATAAGTTAAATGAATATATCAGAATAGAACACTATTAAAAGTCAAACGCTATTTACGGATTATCTGCACTAGTTATCCCATATCTTCTATATCCCTGTATGCCCTATCTCCTATATCTTTCATACCTTCTCCGTCGATATTTAATTGAGTCTCTGGGAAAACTCTCACAAAGCATCATATAGCAGGAATACGAGGTATCAGAGGGTACAGGAAGTGCACAGTTCGTATTATTTGATGCTAGGGCTACTATAAAGCAGACGCATCTATCCATCATTCCAAAAATAATCTCTCAATATTAAATATAGGTAAGACTACAAATCCGTTAAAGAAAAATTCCTCCATATATTTTCCAGAAAACCACTGATCCCAGAAAATGCAAGAATTCAACTCCAAAAAAACTCTGCATCCAACGAATTGAAAACAAAACAAAAACAAAGCGCCCCGTAATCCTTTGCCACATTTATCATGTGATTTCATGAGAGCCACATCAACTCTAATCTTTCTAGATTTTCTGAATCGGGTTCCTCCTTTCAAAGCCACTAGGGTATGGCCAACACCGCAACAGTTCAACTAAATTATCCTCACGCGCTACAACTACTTTCACAACACAACTGCAAATATGATACGTATGTGAAAACATCTCTGACCAATGTCTGACAAGACAACCCGACACCCAACTACCAGGACGCTCTCGTGGACTTTACACAGCACCTATAGCATGCACACATGCTCAGGTACCCTTTCCAACTGTTGTAAACCGTCTCATCATTCTCCCCATATACAGATCAGCTGCAACCTTGTAGACCGCTTACCGAGTACTCCAATCACGAAACCCACAGAGCCCCGAGGTAACGTGTCTTCTATTGTTCCCAATACTTTCACGACCAATCATTTCCTGGCCACTCCTTTCGCGACACCTACAGCAAGTGCGATGTGATATGTGTCCTATTGTTCTCAGTCTTTTCGCGGCCAGTTCTTTGGTGGCACCCGCAGCAGCTGCGATATGACATGTGCCGTATTGTTCTCAGTCCTTTCTCGGCGAGTCGTTTCGCGGCCTATCGTTCCGTGAATTGTTCTTCCTCGATCCATTTTTTCGTAGCACTCACAACTGGGGGAAGGCACGTGAGTCGTTTTGTGGGATGCGCAGCTTGATAGAAGCGTGAGAGTCGTTTAGAGTCACCCACACCTTGGTGCACCCGCACCGGCACCCACATCGACAGTCGACAATGTTTTTGGAAACCTCATTCTGCGTTTCCGTGGTATGATCTTTGTGTTTTCGGAAGTCGATTTTTCTTGGGTCGAGTTTTCTATTTTGGGAAACGGAAAGTGTATTTTTCGGAAATTCATTTTGGCCTTCCGGAAATGTGTCTAGCGCGGAAAGGCAATTTGTTTTTCCGGAAACTCATTTGGTCGGAAAGTCTGTGGACTTTCCTGAAAAGTAATATAAGGCATCATATGGTGGTTGTGAGTGTGGGTAACTCTTCTATAGCTATCCACACCCACACCCACACCATAATCAAATGAAATCAATCATATAAACCTAACGCGAAATTCAATTTTCGGATATAGCGCATCTTGAATTTCTACTACTCTTTTCGCTAATTCTTCATCTTGTTCCATGTAACCTGTAGTACATTCGAAGTTATTATTCTCAAAATAACACATGTATAGGGTGTAGATGTGGGTGGGTGTCGCCGAAGGTAGAACATCTGCACCCTCGAAATGCGTTCTTTTGCTGGAGAGAGACCTTCTCTCATTGCGTTGGTGCTATCGTGAGCTGAAAAACCTTGTATTGGTTTGCGAGATCGGTACCCGACAATATGCTGTGAGGAATTACATCGATTCCTGCGACCTCGGCAATCTTGTTCGGGTTTTTCAGAAAAGGGAATTTTTTTACAAAGTAGATGAGTATAGCGATTTATAAATAGAGCTAACAATGTATCTTTTGAATGCCGTCGAAAATTTAACCATGAAACTTTTTTTGATGTGAGAATGTGAAGAATAGGATAGCTATGATATAAATAACCCATAACCACAACCATACCTCGTACCTCACACCTCCGCACCTCACCCACTCACACCCGGTGGTATTATTTAAAAACAGCTCCAATAAAGTCTTCTTTGACCTGAAAAGGCCGTGTCCAGGTTTTTAGAAACCTTGTCATCATAGGCCACCTTTGAATATTTGAGATAGAAAACTCCATTGGCTATTAAAATCAATATATGGATTTGAGCTAGATGCTTAACATTACAGAAAAAAATCTAAAATACGTTGAATTTCAACTTTTGTCCGCTGCTTTATGTCCGCACGTCCTTCGAAAAAGTGCTCCCATCCTTCCAAAATTCGAGATCCGCCATTGTATTGTTTTGAAATAGACACTATGATGGATCATTTCTTTCTTTTTTTATGATCTTTGAGATATTCATTAAAAATGCAATTTTTTTTTATCTTTTTTTGTGTAACACCATATTCTAACATGCTTCAACGACATCTTATCTATTCGTTTGTTTTTTTTTCATTCTTCGTAATGCTTATCAACACAAAACAATCTATTTTTGCTAAAGATGAAAATATTCGAACTCAAAATTCACAGATACAAATTAAAAAGATTATCTTAGTTCTCTCATAAGAGTAAAATAAATTCAATTTATTAGTAAATATATTCATCTATTATTAAGAAATCGAATTGGAAAAATTTCTATATGATCTTATACATATTTTTTTTTCCAGTTTTTTATCCTACTTGCAGATTTTCACATTGAATTAACGATATTTTTTGAAGTGACATAGAGCATTTTTTTTAATCAATGAAAAGTAAGCATGCTTATCAATATAATTAGAAATTTCACGTTTTATCTTTTAGACAGTCAATTGTATATTGTATGCTTTGGTACAACGTTGATAAGTATTGTAATTCTTTTAAATTATTTTCAACAAAGAAAAAGAAAAAACAAGATGAAAAACGAGTATGTTTATTTATTTAATTATTCATTGATTCTCATTATTGATATAGAAAAATGAATATTTAAAATGTAAAACATTATTTGATTTCGAAGAATTAGCTAAGAAATCAATGATGTCACATCGTTTTTATTATTATGACTACAAAGCTGATCAAGGACATACATATCAAGCATATTGACATTATTTTGATAAACAATTAAGAATTATGCCAAGAGTTTTGATGGATGTTAGTGAAATTTCATTAAAAACAACTATATTTGGGTGAGAAATTATTGAAATATAAAAAGCTGCGATACTCCCATAGAGACAGATTTTACCCATTGAGAGGATTTTTTCTAGTTTTTTCTTCGTCACTATGAACTCAAAATGCATTTGTCAACATTTATTATAGATCGATATATGAATCACCAATCCTAATTGCTACATCCGCTTGTCATTGCCTTGCTCATGTTGATGGTGAAGTTGCCACAGCTCGTGCTGCAACTGAAACTCAATGTATTTTTACTTACAATTGGACGTTTTCAAATATGCCAGAAGAAAAAGTTCTACAAACACTCGGTATATCCTTTTTTTTCTTTTCTATTTCATTTTCTCTTCAATGTACTTAATAATCTTAGGTCCAAAATTTTTACATATTTATTTAACAACACCTACAGAAATCTTAGAACAAATAGTTCCACAAGCTGATAAAAAAGGATATCGAGCAACCGTTATTACATGTGATCAGCCACATGAACGTATTCGAGATTTTGTATTACCATTATTTGAAGAAGCATCAAAGAATATTGATCCAGAATTAATGAAGAATATGTCAATACCAAATTTGAATATACCTGGCATAATTGTTAAGCAACGTTTTGGTACCGGTTCAGTAACATGGGCAAATATTGAATGCATAAGAAAATTGACGCAATTACCAATTATTTGCAAAGGTATACTCTCACCAATTGATGCAGAATTAGCAATTAAATATGGAGCAAATGGAATTATTGTCAGGTCTGCTTTGCATATAATCAGTTAACTGAATATATCTTTTGCTGTTATTGGTTTTAGTAACCATGGTGGTCGACTAATTGATACAGCACCACCAGCTATTGAATGTCTAGAAGATGTCATCAATGCTGTTGATGGACGTGCAGAAGGTAAGTTTGTTTCAATGACAATTGAAAAAAATCTTACAGATTTTTAAACTGTCTTCTTAAGATATCAAATCTTAGGCAGAATAAAGTTTTTTAAAACGTCTCAACATAGTTAAGATGAGAAAAGTTATCTATCTGCTTCCTTTTTAGAAAGCTGTTGATTTGGTTAAACTCTCTATATTGATAGAGTAGCTCAAGCTTGCTAAATCTTCTGATTTGACCAGGACACTTTTGATATTTGGACTTGTCTCCTGACCGAAAATCTCCTCATTTCAGGAGTTGATTTTTGTTTTTTTTAATATTTGGCTGTTAGCAATATTTTGAACCAATAAACGAATTCAAAGAAAAAGAGAACTATCGCAGTGTCTCAAAGATCTAACAACCAACAAAAACACATTGCTTTTACATCCTTTTACTCAAAGTAAAGTCATTAATTACAATTATATTAACTAATCTTATATAAAGTATTTGTTTAAACAGAGATAATAAGAAAATAATATTATATGTGTAATGTTTTGACGTGTAAGGATGGAATTACTCTTGAAGTTTTAAACTCATTAGATAAAAATCTTATGACAAAAACTGAACCGCAAATCGATA